AAAGAGAGAGAGAGAGAGAGAGAGAGAGAGAGAGACCGTGTCTGTGTGTGTGTGTGTGTGTGTGTGTGAGATAGTGTTGTCACGGTACCAAAATTGGGACCCACGGTACGATACCAGTGACAGTATCACGGTTCTGAGTAGTATCACGATACCACAGCAAAAATGAGGCAGATGTGCCTTTTGTCATTTATAAAAAGATAAATTACTTTTCTATAATACATCAATGATATTTCAATAGAATAAATTACTTATTGACTTATTCATACTTCAAAAACAGCATGAATAAGTGATTAACATAGGAGGGATCAAAATAAAATAAATTAATAAAATAAAAATCAACCAGCCACCCTCCTCCCCTGACAAGTAAAGAGCAGTCCCTTCATAAGTAAAGAACAGTCCCTTATGTGCGCTGAGGTTTGTGGAGCGTTACCTGCCACAAAGAGAGAAATGTGAATGGCTAGTTTCTCCTCTGACACGCCACATACCTATGTGCCGCCACAGCTCGGCTGTCCAGGTACTACTGGGCAGTCATGACACCAACAAGAGGACATTATTGGACCTGGAGCCGGACTTCTCCGTCACCGGTAAGCCCTTATCTTGCGTCACGGAGCACTATGACCGCCATATTTGACCCCCGTTCAACCCACAACAGGCAGGATTCGCCATTATTGGACAGCGCACGCCATTATTGGACAGTACATGGACACTCACCCTCTTGAGACTGGACTTTGAACTTATCCCACAGTGGTGGTACCATGAGGTACCATAATACTACAGTACTCCAACATTATGGTATCATATGTACTGTGGAGTTTTAGTGCCGCGGTCTACCGTTGGTACCAGTATACCGTGCAACACTAGTGTGAGAGAGAGTGTGCGCGTCTGTGTGTGTGTGTGTGTGTGTGTGTGTGTGTGTGTGAGAGAGAGAGAGAGAGAGTGTGCGCGTCTGTGTGAAATTATGACCGAGTTAATGAGTTGTTTTCCGACTTGAGGGGGTATTCTTGAATTTTCCCAGTCAGAAAGAGTTTTTCTGATTATGCCGACGTTACTTGAACGCAGCATTCACTGCGCCATTCAGGTCTCATAGCGGGAGCGGGGCACTGCCGTGCTGACAAAATTATATGTGTTATCGGGGCTATTCGTCATGATATCGGACTTATCAGAATGATGTAATAATTTCCTGTTCAGCCCGATAGTTATCGTGCATCCCTACAATTTTCTGATGTTTCCTAAATGTCTCATATGCAGGCTACTGATAGTGGTAGCCATATATCATTTTTATGTCTGGTGACACTGCAATTCAGCCTGTAGCAACAACATAACATAAGGCTACTGTTTCAAAATCAAAGCATAAAATCATTAATCAGAGCACTCACATAAGAAGTTGCATTAACAAAGGAATTAAGAGCAAATCTCTGTCAAACTCAGCAGAGGAAGTCTATAAAAACAGCTGCTGGCATTATGTTTAATCCAATGCACCAATTTACAAAAGCTTTTCAGGTTTGTTTTTATGCCTCAGTGCCAGCAATAGCTGTGACTGGAGACATAATGTTTTCACGTCGCCTGTCCCCCATACTTGTGAATTTCAATAACACCTCAAGGGAATTTCTTCAAATTTGGCACAAATGTCCACTTATACTCAAGGATGACCTGGTTAAATTTTGGTGGTCAAGGGTCAAAGGTCAAGGTTGCTGAGACCTTGCATCCATCTCATTGTCGTGAACACAACATCTTGAGAACAGCTTGAGGAAATTTCTTCAGATTTGGCACAAACATTCATTTGAACTGAAGAATAAACTGATTAGAATTTTGTGGTCGAAGGTCAAAGGTCAAGGTCAGTGTGACCTCACAAAATATGTTTTTGGTTATAACTCAAGAATCCATACACCAATTATGACAAAACTTCACACAAATGTCTAATAGAATAAAATAATGAAGTGATGACATTTTATATCCAAAAGGTCAAAGGTCAACTTCACTGTGACATCAAAATGTTCTGCAACTCTTTTCTGGCCATTACTCAATGTCTTGTCTCAGGAACAGAAGGACAGAAGGGGAAATATTTGGTCAGATACCGAATTGGTGACACTAATCTTGGGTGTCCACTAGGTCCGCACGGTTAATTATAAGAAGATCCTGATCTTGATTCACACCTACATGCGATCCAATTTCTAAATGACAATGATTTTCCAGCATTATTTCACAAGCGGCATTGCAAACAAACTCTGGTAGCTGTCATAGTAAAGTAGATGTCTCAAGCACCCCAAGTGCTGCTCTAGCGTTGCATTCTCCCTCACCCTATGACAAAGCGGCTCCACATCACGTGATTTCATGTAGAAGCCAGAAGAGGTAACTGGCGGCAGTCTTTCGAAACTAGTAGGCAGGGTTGCCAGGTCCGCTTATTAGTCACGCTTGCTAGCTGGGCTTGTTTCCATAGCCCTGGTTGCTTGTTTCTCCCAAGATCTGGCAACACTGCTAGCAGGCTAGCTGCAGCAGCGAGTGAGTACGAGAGAAAAGTTTAAAGAGTGCAGATACGGAGGAAAGTTGTGATAAAGACAACTAAATACAAACTAAACATTGATGAAAACCCAGGTGGTAGTGACGAGAATCAGCCAACCACACAAAGCGAACTCGTTCCGACAAAAGGCTCGCATTCGGTGGTGCAGAAATATTTTGGATTTAGGCAAGATGATGAAAATCAGTCTGAAATCCGTTGCAAGCCGTGTTTTGCCGTCATAGCAGCACCGCAAGGCAACACCACAAATCTTTACAATCACCTTAAACGTCACCACAAAGTGCAATATGATGAAGCCATGCAAGGCAAGAAACAGGAAAGTTCCTGTTGCCCGACAACACAGACATCTTTAACGGAGATAATGTACAATGTAACGCCATACCCTTCTAACAACAACAACAGACAATGGTCAAAACATAGTAAAGGCCATCTCAATCAACGACTGTACCTGGCTGCAGTGTTATGGTCACAGGCTTCATCTGGCTATTGGTGAGTTGAATTCAATTAAGTTAGTATAGTATAATATTTACAACGGCCCAGACTAAGATAAATTATAAATGAATAATAAAGTGATAAGTAATAAATAAGTGGTTTACATTTAAATACTGCACTGTACTTTTATAGCTGACTGAATTGATTTTTTTTTTTTTCATTTGTCAAAGTTTATGGGTGCAATAAACATTTCAACTTGTGTGGGAAAAAATCGTGCCAGAGAATCGTAATCTCAATTCTAAGCAAAAAAATCATGATTCACATTTTTCCCAGAATCGTGCAGCCCTAGTGTCCACCTTAAAACTGTGATGATTGTATAGATCTTCTGTGCTGCTGGGGGGAAGAAGTGAGTGGAAGCATCCATGTTTTCACAGACATGGATATAAACTGTAAGAGAAACTTTTTCTTTTGCTGTCCTTCCCAGAGTGGCATGAGAAAATTAAATGGTTTAACCCTAAACTGTTTTTGCAGTGACATCTCACCTGTCATGTCACAGCTGACTCTGAAGGGGGAGATAGGTCCACTGCCATCTGGGTCAATCCAGTAGCTCCCTGAGCTCTTGCCCTGGTGCTTATACTCCTCACAGGACTGCTGATACATCGCTACATGGGAGACACACAACTAGTGAGGACCTAAACATGTTTTTAACCAAAAGAGTGAGCACATTTATGAAAAGTGAGGACATTTTGACCAATCCTCATTTTTTAAAGGCCAGACATGGTTATGAGTTTCAGGTCAAAATTAGGTTTAGGTTAGGGTTAGGGTAAAGGGCCAGGGAATGCATTATGTCAACAAAAGTAGAAGTACAGGTACGTGTGTCTGTCTACACTTACAGGTATGGCAGGTAGCTCCAGTGTATCCAGTGCTGCTACAGTTGCAGCTGAATGTATCCCACGTCTGAGAACAGTGCCCACCGTGCTCACAGTGATTAGGAACACACCTGATAGGACACACACAGAGGGACAGTGGAGGGAACTCATGTGAACTCAGCCAGAACACAGCAGGGACCATTTTCTAACCCATGATATTTGCTGTGAGGCACCAGAACTTCCCCTGAGTCTGAGCTTTCTCTATTATGTCAGTCTTAAGTTTATAACTGTGATTGGGTTGCATACCTGTCTATAATGGCACACATATCCAGGCTGACATTTTCAAAGGTTCCAATGAGGCCCTGCTCCACAGCCCTGAGGTCAGCTAGATGGTCGTCTACGTGGATCATCTGCATGCAGCCTTGAAAGGAGCGCTGAAGTGATCGGGTGTTGGTGTGCAAGAAGTTACCTGGAGACAAGCAGAGGAGGTCAAAGGTCATTATCACAACCAGTGGAGAAATAGTGATAGAATGAACTCTGTGCTCTTGACATTGAACACTTTGTCTGTGCTGCATCTTTCTTCCACACCCAAGCCTCAGAAATACTTGAGTCCAAGCCCCCACTGTGGTTTATTTTATGCTATATTTTAGTTAGTTTTTGATTAGTGTGTTTTATTTTACACTATCAATGCTGCTTGTTTATACACTGTGTTTGTATTGTTTTCATTGTAAAGTGTTGAAGACACCTTGGTACAGAGTCCTGCATGAGCCAGATTTTCAAAACTTGCTCCCAAACTTGCAACGTGACACGCAATACTGCACCTGCCCCGCCACCTGCACATAACCAATTGGTTCCACAACCTGACCCACAAATACAAAATCCACAGCCTGAACCAAAACCGCAAATCCTATAATTACCATGCACTTTTCAAATAATTTGGTTTGCAAAGTGATCATTTAGTGACAGTTTCATACATGAAAAACTTAGAAAACATATTTAAAAACAAAGATAAGTCAAGAAATACTAATAAAATGTATAATTCTTGCTTACTCTCATAATATTGAACAGTAAATCTACGCAGTAATGTCCCAATCAGGTGTGTTGGTAACACACCTGATTGAAGCTGTTCTCATATTCCATGTGGTGCAAGAGATAGGGCCAACACACAAGGTCAGCATTCAGAGGATTAAAACGATAAAACATGAAATTAAATTATCATTATTCTCATTTCATTTTAATATATTTCCAATTCAACACCCACGATTGGAACCACACAGTGTTTTCCCTACCATTATATTGGCAGACAAAACACCATTCACAAATCACCTTTACTGCGGGTCACCCACTACATACCCGAGGGTACCCGACCTGATCCAGGACTCTGCCTTGGTGTTAGGGCTAGGTGATATGGCTTAAAAATAATAGTACATTACAATAGAGTTAAAGGGGCAAAAAGCGAAATCGTTTCACTGTTAGGTTTGCTGTTGTGCACTGCCTGTAGACCAAAACAAAGTGTGTCATGAGCCACACCTCCCTCTACCTCTGCTCTCCATCCCCCCACCCCACTCGCCTCGTATGTGCAGCCGAACACCGCAGCATCTCCACGGACTATTACATCCAGACGGTCCCGGTGTTTCTTCCGCAGGCTCCACTTCACTCAGCTGCCCGATATACCTGCTGCTTCTTCCCACTTTAACCTGAATAACAAACCAGGGCTTGGATCTCCGGTTGGATCCAAACGGAGAGCCGGGGCTAGCTGTGAAGCTAGCGGAGGCTAACTGGCTGTGCTGGCAGCTGAGTGAAGTGGAGCCTGAGGAGGAAGCACCGGTTAGCCCAGGTTTCACTACAGGCAGATTCACTCGCCACAGGGGCGAGGAAATAAAACCTAAACAGCCAACTTAGTTTGGCTTAGTTTAGCAGTTAGCGATGTCTTTCACTCACTCTCGGTCTCTGCTGTGTTTAGCTATTTCCCTGCTTTCCTGTTAACGTTAGCACTAGTCGGCTGCCACGCTAACGTTCCTACCCTTCTCTGTGAGCACCGGAGCCTGGCAGGCTCACGCAGAAGAGTAGGAACGTTAGCGTTAGCTCCCGGAGTTTGCACTAGAGCTACTACGGCTACTGGATTAACTTACAGCTATGGAGCGCTTCTACCAGCTCTTCTAGTCAGTGAGCCTCGCCTCCATCTCAGCAAATATATTACATTTATTACAGGTACCATCATCATTGAAGTAGGCAGGGGAATAGCTAAACACAGCCCACCAGGCTACCCGCTGGGCTACATTTTACAATGCTAATTGCAAATGTTAGCTGGACTGCCGGGCTACTCACCTAACACAACCGAAACGCCTGACCCATTGCTGGGACCGAGCCACTAATAACTCAAGCTCTGGACATTAACCCATGCTACGATTGTAACATTAAATTTAATTGAATCGACATAGCGACATGTGCCTAACGTTACTGTAACACTAATTAAAACAGACATTTGACTCCGCCATTTCACTTCGAAAATACGCGCTGCCATTGCTCGCTGGCTGTAGCCTTTTATAGGGAAGGGAGGGCCAAGGGCTCTGAGGGGGGGGATTCACATGAACGCGCAGCCGGACCGGCTTGTAAACAAGGGGCTGGAGATCAACACAGAGAGAGGGTGTGTGAGGTCATGCTATACTCCAGATGAAATTACACCTCTAGTTCTTCACATAGCGATTTTTTAATTCCTTCAATCTAGAAATGATGAATTTTGCTTATTGCCCCTTTAAATAAAGTTATGTTTAATAAAGTTAAAAAAGGCATTGTTATAATTAAATAAAACAAAGAGGAACCCCTGTAGCTTTTATTTTGAAGCTCCAAGTTCGTCTTGGGCAAGAAGTGTTGATGTTTTTGCTGTGAACTTAAAGCTTATGGTCAAAGCAGCGTTGTTATACATGAGGATTTATTCACTGTAAGCTGGAAACAAACTAACAGCTCTACAGTTCATATATCAAGTATTTTGCAAGTTACACTGGAGCTCCATGGTCACAAAATGTGACTTAATAGTCACGGCCTGGACCCTTACAGGTACAAAGACACACATTCCCTCAGCTCACGCTATCGTTTATCTCATTAACAATGTTTTTTTAAATAAACTAAAGCTCTCCAGGCCTTATATCAATAATGTTTGCAAGTCGCAGTGGAGCTCCATGGTTGCAAAACATGAGTAAATGAGCACACTCTGGAGCCCTGCAGATAACAAACACACCTCACCAGCTAACACGCTACTACTCCAGACAGAGTGATCTGGATAGGAGGAGGAGTGTGTGTGACATATCATGTTTGTGAGTCTTTCTTTATCTGTGTGTCTGTGTGAGGGAGAAAGCCATAGGAGAGAGCGAGACAACTGAAAGCACTGAGGCAAGTCTCTTGCCAGATGCTGAAAACCATGATGTGACCATTTTAACTCGATGTTCGTAATTTAGTCATTTTATACATCCCACATGGAACAAATTGCCATACATGGTGTGATAACACACTTTAAAAACTTTGACTTGAAACATGATTCATTGCTTGAAAATACAAAAATCCTTCACTGCCACCTCTTCATGAAATATACATGTTCCTTTGGATGGTTAGTTATCGTTATGAGGAATCACCTCCAAAGTAGTAGGTTCCTCCAGTCTGGATCTGGACAGGGATGGCTGTTCTGACTGTGGATGCCTCATCTCCATCAATTGTCAGCATAGCATAGTTCTCCAGTGCATTCAGATGGACACTGTGCCACAGGCCATCATTCAGACCTGAACCTGCAATAAAAAAAAAATACATCTTAGGCTATAAACTTCAATATAAAACTGCCAACAACAACAATAACTGAGAAAAGCAGCAAAATAAAAATGGAGCTAAAAGTGATCAAACTAACTGAGGGTTTCTGAATTCTAAAGACCAATAAACTGAGCTCACCTGATGAGATATCAATGCGTGTGTTCTTTTTCTGTGTCACATTCATGTAGACAGTGACCTTGCCCTCTGTCAGTCCCACCTCCACCCAGCCATCAGCCAGTGCTGTGAACATTAGCAGGCCGTTGGGGTTCCATGTCCTAAATGACAGACTGACTGACAAAGTGTCACTGTCACTCTGACCCGGCAACCGCAGGAAGGAAGTGGAGTTGAAGAATACAGAGAAGGAGTTGGACTCGGCACATGAAAATGTCAGGTTACGCTACAGTGGGAGACAGAGAGAGGGAGAGAACAGGTTTGACCTATCCTTTGTACACTAACACTTCTTCAGGAGCACTATTTTACCAGAGCCTTCAAGCTTGTCTAGTATTGACCACCAAAATCTAATCAGTTCATCCTTGAGTCCAAGTAAATGTATGTGCCAAATTTGAAGACATTTCCTCAAGGCGTTCTTGAGATATAACGTTCACAAGAATGAGACAGACAAGGTCACAGTGACCTTGACCTTTGACCCATGACCACCAAAATCTAATCCGTTCATTGCTGAGTCAAAGTGGATATTTTTGCCAAATTTGAAGAAATTCCCTTGAGGTGTTCTTGAGATATCGTGTTCACAAGGATGGGACGGATGTACAGACAGACAAACCACAAACACAATGTTTATGGCCGCGGTTATCACTGGCATGGTGGCATACTTGTCAATTGTGTCAAAACACAGAGAGAGAGAGAGAGAGAGAGAGAGGGAGAGAGAGAGAGAGAGATGCAAATATACTAATACACACACACACACACAAAGACACACACACACACACACACACGCACACACAGAAACAGTGTACTGTATGTGATAAGAACAGAGCAGAGGAGTGGCGTTGCTTGCTGACTGGTGCGGCGAAAGGTGCTTCTGCTGTGAACAACCAGGCAACTGCTGATGTGGCTCTGCGACAACTGACATAGCTGGGTGGTTCTGCATCCAGTGTGAGCAAGGTGTGAGGCTTAGTGTCTCATGGAGAATATTCAGGCTGACAGGCTACTTGTTGCACATTTATTTTACCAGTAGATGGCAATGTGACATTGTTTTTTTTTCTCTTGAGAAGTTACTAAAAATTTTCCTCAACAGATGCCCATGCAAAATTTACATTTTTTGAAATATAATAAATAAATAAATAAATAAATAAATAAAGCCTAAAAAAAAGTTATTTAGTATGTAATATTTGGCATGGTTTATTGTCAATCTGAATCTGAATCTGAATATTCTACCCATTAATATGTTTATATAAGTGTATAATCACTATAAAATAAAATTTGTTTGGTTTTCGTAGCCTTATAATTATGCTTTTATATATATATACAGTACAGGCCAAAAGTTTGGACACACCTTCTCATTCAATGCGTTTTCTTTTTTTTCATGACTATTTACATTGTAGATTCTCACTGAAGGCATCAAAACTATGAATGAACACGTGGAGTTATGTACTTAACAAAAAAAGGTGAAATAACTGAAAACATGTTTTATATTCTAGTTTCTTCAAAATAGCCACCCTTTGCTCTGATTACTGCTTTGCACACTCTTGGCATTCTCTCTATGAGCTTCAAGAGGTAGTCACCTGAAATGGTTTTCCAACAGTCTTGAAGGAGTTCCCAGAGGTGTTTAGCACTTGTTGGCCCCTTTGCCTTCACTCTGCGGTCCAGCTCACCCCAAACCATCTCGATTGGGTTCAGGTCCGGTGACTGTGGAGGCCAGGTCATCTGCCGCAGCACTCCATCACTCTCCTTCTTGGTCAAATAGCCCTTACACAGCCTGGAGGTGTGTTTGGGGTCATTGTCCTGTTGAAAAATAAATGATCGTCCAACTAAACGCAAACCGGATGGGATGGCATGTCGCTGCAGGATGCTGTGGTAGCCATGCTGGTTCAGTGTGCCTTCAATTTTGAATAAATCCCCAACAGTGTCACCAGCAAAACACCCCCACACCATCACACCTCCTCCTCCATGCTTCACAGTGGGAACCAGGCATGTGGAATCCATCCGTTCACCTTTTCTGCGTCTCACAAAGACACGGCGGTTGGAACCAAAGATCTCAAATTTGGACTCATCAGACCAAAGCACAGATTTCCACTGGTGTAATGTCCATTTCTTGTGTTTCTTGGCCCAAACAAATCTCTTCTGCTTGTTGCCTCTCCTTAGCAGTGGTTTCCTAGCAGCTATTTGACCATGAAGGCCTGATTTGCGCAGTCTCCTCTTAACAGTTGTTCTAGAGATGGGTCTGCTGCTAGAACTCTGTGTGGCATTCATCTGGTCTCTGATCTGAGCTGCTGTTAACTTGCGATTTCTGAGGCTGGTGACTCGGATGAACTTATCCTCAGAAGCAGAGGTGACTCTTGGTCTTCCTTTCCTGGGTCGGTCCTCATGTGTGCCAGTTTCGTAGCGCTTGATGGTTTTTGCGACTCCACTTGGGGACACATTTAAAGTTTTTGCAATTTTCCGGACTGACTGACCTTCATTTCTTAAAGTAATGATGGCCACTCGTTTTTCTTTAGTTAGCTGATTGGTTCTTGCCATAATATGAATTTTAACAGTTGTCCAATAGGGCTGTCGGCTGTGTATTAACCTGACTTCTGCACAACACAACTGATGGTCCCAACCCCATTGATAAAGCAAGAAATTCCACTAATTAACCCTGATAAGGCACACCTGTGAAGTGGAAACCATTTCAGGTGACTACCTCTTGAAGCTCATCGAGAGAATGCCAAGAGTGTGCAAAGCAGTAATCAGAGCAAAGGGTGGCTATTTTGAAGAAACTAGAATATAAAACATGTTTTCAGTTATTTCACCTTTTTTTGTTAAGTACATAACTCCACATGTGTTCATTCATAGTTTTGATGCCTTCAGTGAGAATCTACAATGTAAATAGTCATGAAAATAAAGAAAACGCATTGAATGAGAAGGTGTGTCCAAACTTTTGGCCTGTACTGTATATATAGCAAGGGCCTTGCTTTAGAGAGGTCGCCATCTTGCGCCGCCATGTATGTACGGCAGACCGAGCGGACAATCCAGCCAGCCAGAGAACGCATTTTGTGTGTATAAATAAACCAACGAAGACAGCGGAATAAAGGAAGAAGGAGGAGGAAACAGCAGAGTGTTAGCAGTTCATCGACAGAGAGTAGTGAAAAGTTGTTTTAGTTATAAAGTTTGCGAATGGACCACACTTACCACGCAACAGGAGAGAATGAACCCGAACCGTCATCTGCGAGGAAAAGAAGACGCAACTTCACTCCTTGTGATGCACTCTCTGCGGCGCTTTTCCTCCTGATGATATATCTCCCCAACTATGGTAGCAGTAGCACCGAATCCCATTCTGTGCATTCAGCCTCTCTTCTCGCCCGCTCAGCATCAAACACATGGAGTTCCTCATTTGTATGTTCCGGCTCAAACAGGTATGGCTCTGAGTCTGTGTCCGCTACAAGAAACTCTTCAAAATCGCGTTCAAAGTCGTCCATTGCAGCTACTACAGTCCGGAGATATTGCTAGGCTAAAGAAACAGCTGAGCTCTGTTTACCGGCTACGCTGTCAGTCAGTGTGCGGGCTGGAGGTTGGTGGAGCAGAGAGGGGAGGGGGTCCCCACTCAGTATGGTAAACGAGTATGTGTGTATGAAGTGTGTCTGTTACGCTAGAAGAGTCAGAGTTTGGGACGGAGTCTTTTACCCCCTGGAGTGTTACCAGAGTTTTTGGAGTGCTCAAATAAACTGGCCTTTTTCTCGAACGCTCCTCTGGTCTCCTGCTTGTGATGGATTCATTACAATATCGTAACATGGTTTAGATTTCTAAATAAATATTCACCTCGTCGCTAGATAGACCTACTCCTGAAAAACTCATGCGCAAGGCTTTTTGTCCCTACAAGGCCACCGTCATTTACCTGACGGGAGGGGTGAGCGAGTGAGCCCTGCAATCTAGAATTTGACCACTGATGTCACTGTTTTCAACCCATTTTACACACTGGCCCTTTAAGTATTCTATTGTAGAGACAGATAAATAAAAATGATGTGTCTGTTTAACACACACACACACACACACACACAGAAGCAGAGAAAGTTGTCTTACAAAGCTGGAGGTGTCCACCTTCTTCCTGCGGACCAGGTTAGTGATGTTGTCTCCGTTGTAGGTGATTCCCTCCATGCAGCCAACAAAGTTGTCTCTGCCTCCTGAGCTTGGCTTTGCTGATACAGGCAGCCCTCCGAAACTGATCTGAGGACACAACAGGGCAGAGAAACATGGACTTAGAGACATTAAACCGATATTATATTGTATTATCAGGTGCAGTAGGACTTCGCAGAAATGTTGTTCTTGTGTTCTTTCAGAATGTTGCGTTGGTCAGATGGCTGTTACTGGAGCTACTCCTGTAAACTTGCTGTGAATATCAGTCACAATAACATTTTCAGATATAATTAAAGACTGATGAGTAGACTTCAAAACTAGAAACTATACACTAATTCATTTTGTATACACTTGGCCAGCCTTTAAGGCAGGTTGTTCTCTCCACAGGGAGTCTTTACCTCATAGTCCAGGTCCAGATGGTCAAATTCTCCATTGGTCCTGAACTGCTGAGTATGATGGTCCAGAGTAAAGTTGACATTTCTTCGGTAACGCTCTATAACAACTGAGTGCCAGTGGTCATCATCCAGTAAGCTCCCACTGGTCACAGAGGTGTGACCCTGAATGGAACCATACTGGTTACTGCCTGGAGAGAAGAGGGCAAAGCACACACGCAGGAACAGGTTGTAAATGTTTATCATGTTATTTCTGACAGCAGTAGATAATACAGTCCTTAGAATTTCAATAGCAGAGAAAAGGCTGTCTCTGGAGAACACGTTTGTTTTTCTTAAGACCACACAGACATTATGGAAGGCTACCTAAGTTGATGCTGAGCTGCAGTCTTGCCCTGCGGAGCTCCAGGGAAATGTAGTCTCCCTGCTGTCCCTCCCCGTGGAGCAGGACCCCGTCTCCAGCAGTGGTTCTAAACTTTAGAGAGATGACATCTTTCACAATCTTTATCTTCTTACTCCTGAAGCGGTAAGAGATGACGCCATGGCCATCAAAACTGATCACATCTGCCCCTGGAAGACAAAAAAAAAAAAAAAAAAAATTCAAAAAAAGTTCAGAAAAATATCTTTTTTGAACCCCTTGAGATCATCTCATCATCCAGGCTGTGCAAAACAAACTCTCACAAGAACACGAAACAAAACACAAGATGCAACATATGTGACGACAATGCAAAAGAAAAAATAACACCATCAACTCTATCTTTATGCCTCTGCGAACCAGTCAAGTCTCTCTGACCAGGATGCTTCACACACACATCTTACCCCCTGAACTATCTGAAAAAAATGTTTCTCCTTCTGTTCCTGAGATATGATGTTGAATAATGGCCAAAAAAGTGTTTTTGCCTAACATTATGATGTCACAGTAAGGTTGACCTTTGACCTTTTGGATATAAAAAGTAATCACTTCATCATCTTATCCTATTAGACATTTGTGTGAAATTTTGTCATAACTGTGCATGAATTCTTTAGTCACACTGAAAAAACATTCCAAACCAGGGTCTGGCTATAAGAATACATCCACACAATGTTGGATAGCTTTGAAAACACACGTGGCTTTCCATTTTGAACCCCCATCCACACTTAGAAGAGGTTTTTATGTGTGTTACTGTGGACAGGAAAAACAGTGACAGACCTGACAAACAGGATGAAAAAGAGAAGATTAAACCATTTTCCTTCTATTCAGGCGTTTCAATGTGGATGGAGATCTTCACGAAGACAACCTTGACCATAGTGGCTCAACCACAGCCTTCAGAAACATTTTGTGCTACCCCTAAACATGACTAGAAATTCATGCATTAAGGCTCGGACATACTTCCCGCATTGTACATCCATGGACAGCTGTGGTCACACTGATAAACACACACTTGGCTGCTCCTCCATTAAAGGAGTTCATATCACCATGTCCAGACAACAGGAGGACAACTAGGACGACCAGCAGAGGTGACTGTGCAGTACAGCACAGATTTACTGAGTTTGGCAGATCAGTCTTCTCTGTCAGAGCCACTAATTACTGGAACTCAGTACCAAGCGAGATCAGAGAGAGTAGCACCTTTACTGGCTTTAAATCCAAGATAAAATCATGGCTAAAATCAACCCAATCATGCACCCATCAATCATAAACTGTCAAACACAGGCTCATAATTCACTGGTTCGTAATCTTGTTGTTATTGTCGTGTCTTAACATTGTGGTTTTATTGTTGCCGTTGTGTCTTAATAGTGTGAAATTTTGTTATTGTTGTTGTCTGAAGATGTTCTGTTTTTATATTTGTTTGTATTCATGTGTGCTTGTTTGTTTTATACTATAGTGTTAGATTTCTGTCTTAACACTATATGTTTTCTGTTCCTGCTCAGGGACTACAGATGAAAATTAGCTAGTAGCTAACTCTGGTATGGCTGAGAGCTGTGCACTGTCCCTGTTAAATAAACAAATAAAATAAATAAAGTTCTATTCATAGTAGAACTGAAAGTCTGTATCAGCCCCTGGCAGTAAACAGGAAGGCTGCGAGATACGCTTACTGTCCTACTGCCATCTGAAACTGAAACTAAGAAGATGCTGCTAGGTCTGGAGTGGATACCTTCTTTAGTTACAGTGAAAAAACATGTTTTGTATGGTCACAGTGACCTTTAACCTTATACCACCAAATTCTAAATAGTCCATTTTTCAGTCCAAGTGGATATTTGTGCCATATATTAGGAAATTCCCTCAAGGCCTTCTTGGGATATCGTGTTTTCAAGAATGAGACACACGATCAAAATGACCTTTGACCTATATATGACCACCAAACTCTAATCAGTTCATCACTGAGTCCAAGTGGATATTTGTGCCAAACTTGAAGAAATGCCCACAAGGCATTCCTGAGATATCACATCAACAAGAATGGGACAGATGGACAGACAACCTGAAAACATGCGGCCTCTGGCCACAGCTATCACTGGCGCTGACACATTAAAACAGAGAGGAATTAAAACCACAGAACCGCCAATTTTCTTAGAGAGAAAAGGAATCATAAAGAGGAGCTAATCAGAGCTTCTTTATATGTAACTTGGAGTATAAGGGACAAAGAATTGTTTTAAGTAAAAAATAAATAAATAAGCAATAAATTTGATACCAACTTGACACCAATGAAGTTGTCATCTTGTTTTCACCTTGAGTTTTTGAAAATTGAATGGGACACAAAGCCAAGGACACTGCGGCCCTCTGCTGACTCAACTACCCATAGAGAGAGGAGATTTGTTGTGTCAAAGTCTGTTTCCCCTTACCTTAACCTGAACCCAACCATATCCCTAACCCCAACCAGCCATCTTGTGTGATGTTTAACTTGAGCCTACCCATAACCCAGCAAGCTATCTCTGCTACACCTAACCATCACCAAAGCTCTGACTCCAACCAAACCATTCCATTAACACTGAATTCTGAGTGTTATGAATGGGATCCACCTTTGAGTCAAAATGAGTCAGCATATCAGCCTTAATCCTTTGGATGGCATTCCATAAAGTTTGTATAGAGATTAGGCCTTCCACTGTGGCTGAAATGTTTGCAATTACAATCAAGATACAATGAAAAGTTTCTATAGCAACCCAATCAATTCAACTACACTACACTGTAGGTGTGTTCAGTTATGCTGTGGCAATATTGGATTTCTGTTGACATGTTACTGAAACCAAACTAAACATGACATACCTGCCCCGCATCTGCAGCACTCAACACGAATTGATCTGGTACTTGCAATTATCTCTAAATCAATGGAACTTTGTAACAGCAGACATTTATACTTGTCATAGCAGGAAAAACATATGATGCAAGTCAATGTAAGATGTTCAGATAAACCAGCATGCAGAACAGCAAGGCTTTTCCTGTTGTGAAACATCAAAATATCTGCTGTAAAAAAGGTATTTTCTGCACATGACTCATTCATATAAAACCTGACTTGACCTGTAATCAAATACAGGCTGACGATACTGTCAGGGCACACAGTGGCTAGGGGAAATAAATAAATTCAAAACAAATCTGATTGCAGAGATACCCTTCATGCTTTCAGTAATTATGTTCACTTGTGTTTCCTCCTGCTCAGAGGCCACACTCAGACCTCTTCAAAATTCTGCACACTTTACACACAGCTGGCACAGCAAGAATATCTTTAGTCATTTCCTGAAACAGACCCACGATTACTGTCACTGTGTGCTTTTCTAAACACAATTAGCAAATCTCCAAACCCTATTTGTGCATGTATGTTTTCCTTCCTAGTTTTTAATGAGCCTGCACATCAGATCTGGCTGCTTGTGGTTTGAAAAGATCACACTTCTCTAAGGTTGTTTCTCTTTTTTACAACTATTTTTATCTGTGACAGCAACAAAAGGACAGTATTTACACGCTTACATATCACCATATTTTGTCCTTTTTTTTTCCTGGGCATTTTAGCCTTTAATTGACAGGACAGGTGAGTGTGAAGGGGGGAGAGAGAGAGGGGGAGTGACATGCAGCAAAAGGCCACAGGCTGGACTCAAACCCGGGCCGCTGTGGCAACAGCCTTGTACATGGGGCGCCGGCTCTACCACTAAGCCACTGACGCCCCCACATTTTGTCTTTTGCTATAACTATAACATCAGAACTCAAGAAGATGTAAAGGAGACAAAACACATGGGGAAAAAAGCACAAATAAACTAACTGACACCAAAAAACAACAAAAAAGAAAAACTAGAATTACTGGCCCGCTGTTGTATGCCTCCACACACCAGTCAAGTTTCTCTTACAGCTTACATCCAAGTCTGTGAAAACATGGATGCTTCACACACAGATCAATACAATCAGCACAGTTTCAAGGTTAACACCCAAGATTTGTGTCAGCAATTTAGTAATTGACCAAAATATTTCCCCTTCTGTTCCTTAGATATGACATCAAATAATGGACAGAAAAGCGTTTCATGCAGAACATTATGTCACAATGAAGCTGACCTTTGACCTTTTGGATATAAATTGTTATCACTTCATTATTTTATCCTGTTAGATATTTATGTGAAGTTTTGTCATAATTAGTGTATGAATTCTTGGGTTATGGCTAAAACACATTTTGTGAGGTCACACTGACCTTAACCTTTGGCCCTCCACAACAAAATTCTTATCAGTTCATTCTTCAGTCCAACTGGACATTTGTGTCAAATTTAAAGAAATTCCCTTAAGGTGTTCTTGAGATATCACATTCATGAGAATGAGACAGACGCAAGGTCACATTGACCTAGGGTTGTCAAAAGTATCGATACTCAAACGCTGTATTTGGATACAATACTAATTTACAAAAGTATTGATACTAACAGTGCACGCCACCTGGCAGGCACAGAGCCCTCGCTGCAACCCGGCTTGTTGTCGTCGCTGTGCATGCTTGCACACATTTCTGTTGCTGTAATATGGCCAGCGCGACTGCAGGAGGATCAGAGCAGCCAGTTTTGGTTAAAAATGATTAAGGAAAAAGCGCTCTTTGGAAATATTTAGTGAAGTGAACACAGCACGCTGCAGACGGCAGGTACAGCCCCTCCCCTCACTAGCAGCTGAGCAGCTGGTGTCGCCAGCATCAAACTAAAATATAACTTCTAACGTTAATGTGGGAGCTAAGCAGAAAACTTTATCAGTCATGCCCCTCTGTAACATTAATAGACAATGTTAGTTTAACAGGACAACACAATTATGTGTGTCTGAAAAGTTATGTTAACTGTAAAGTCACAGATTGAAGCTGAAAAAACGTTTGGTTTCTCCCGTAACCCCTGGTTCTCTGATCACATAGTGAGGTAGAAACAGGAGCATCCCGAGCCTAAACTACCAACTCTATTTGATCAGCAACGAAAATATGGTGCCAATTCACCAGAAGCACAGAAAATAAACATGGCTGTAGATAAATACATTTGTATGGACAGATCTTGTTTCTGGTTGTTTTTTATTTTGGGGGGATTTTGTTGTTGTTATCATTGATGTTACTGTTCTGATCTTTATTTAAAAAATGACATGCCTCTTAATTTTTTGCTGCTGTATCGAAAATGGTATTGAGTATTGAATATTTTCCTGGGTATCAATATCGAGTTAGAAATTTTAGTATCGTGACAACCCTACATTGACCACTGAAATCCAATCAGTTGATGGATGGATGGATGGATGGATGGATGGATAGATAGATAGATAGATAGATAGATAGATAGATAGATAGATAGATAGATAGACAGGGAAATTCAGGGTATCTCATAGCTCATGCGACAGATGAGGTCACATAGATCTTATCCTTTGACCTGAGTTATGACACTGAGTAAAAGCCAGAGGAGTATTTTTGCAGAACATTATGATGTCACAGCAAGCTGACCGTTGACGTTTTGGATATTAAAAGTCACCACTTAATTTTATACTAAAAGACATTTGTGTGAAATTTTGTCGTAACAATATATGAATTCTAGAGTTACAGTAAAAAAAAAACATTTTTGTGAGGTCACAGTGACCTTTGACCACCAAATTCTAATAAGTTACTTCTTGGGTCCAAGTGGACGTTTTTGCCAAATTTGGGAAAAATTCCCTCAAGATGTTCATGAGATATTGCAGATGGAAGATAGATGTAAGGTCACAACAACCTTGACCCTGACCACCAAAATCTACTTAGTTCATTGTTAAGTCCAGGTTGACGTTTGTGCGAAATTTGAGGAAATTTCCTTACGACGTTCTTAAGATATCGTGTCACGTATCACAAGGATGGGACGGACAGATGGATGGACAACCCAAAAACATAATGCCTCCGGCCATGGCTATTGCCAGCACGGAGGCCTATAAAAAAACATAAAAGGTAAAGTTAGCAAACCTCACCCCTTGTCATCCGCTGCCACCACACATAGACATAAACATAGATTCTAATCCTGTTGTAAACACTGCAGAGGTATATGAAATTGTCGAACACATTCACAAAAGGATTGCATGGCTTTTGCCGCCACTAAACCTGCAGAGATAGGAAGCAAAAAAAGAAACCATGTAATTCTGAAATGCACCCCTTACTGAGCTGCCAAGCAAATAGTGTCTTGTTGCTCTTGTGCTATATGCATATATTTAAATTATATGATATGCATACATCTGGTGCAAAATTGCCCCCCTTATATGCAGATAAACCTCTCTGCAAAAACTGTCAAATTCTCAAAGATAAGTTCACACACAATACAGGGAAATGATTAACACTCTCAGGGAGTTGGTAGCAACTGAAGCGCACTGTCAGTTGTTAAATCACAAATATGGTTTCTCTCTGTCATGGTAAAATATCTTGCCTGACGTTTTGAGGAATGCCTCTGCATCTCATTGGTCCAGACCTGTAGCTCACTATCTGAAAAGTTTAGTTTTCTTTTGCTCTCTGTCATTGTTCTGCCTGCAGACAGCGACTGCAAGTGATGTGCAATTCATGGTACTATCAGCAGCCACAATCCAATTCTTTGTGAATTCTGTACTGCTCGAAGCGGTGAAAACTGACTGAAAGATTCAACAGGAACATTTCCTTCTAGTCCAGTTCCTTATGTGTTTTCATTCAAAATTTTTGGGTAGTTGATAAACTATTCATTTTTGAATCGTTAGAACATTAGGAATATGAAAACTAATGTTTCCATTTTTTTTTCAAACTCTCTATGGTGGCCATTTTGGATTTTAAAAATGGTGAATGTTAAAACGTTTTTTGTTTTTTTTAATGTCAGGTTTCAAGCTATGCAGGTGTTTACTTTTGGTGGCTAAACACACATTTTAATTATTAAGATATTCACATAAACAAGTACTTGAGTATGCATTAACTGAATTTATTGGATGGAGGTCAAAAGTCAAGGTCACTTTCATCTCATAAAATATGTTTTTGGCCATAACTCAGGAATTCATATGCTAACATTTCACACAAATGTCTAATAGGATAGAATTATGAAATGATGAATACACTGATTAGAATTTTGTTGTGGAAGGTCAAAGGTCAAAGTCAGTGTGACCTCACAAAAATAAATGCACTGATTATGATAAGACTTCACGCAAATGTCTAATAGGATAAAATGATCATGTGATGACATTTTATATCCAAACGATCAAAGGTCAACTTCACTGTGACATCATAATGTTCCTTATTAAACACAACAGAAGGGGAAATATTTGGTCAGATACTGAATTGGTGACTCTTATCTTGAAACTGTGCTGATTGTATACATCTACTGTGTGTGAAGCATCCATGTTTTCACAGACATGGATGGAAACTGTCAAAGAAACTTGACTGATGTGCGCAGGCATACAACCATACCAACATGGCGGTAATTATAATTTTAGTGGCTGCCTGTAAATTTAAAATGTCATTTTGTATCTTCAGTATCACTTTCATCTTAATCCTGGTTTTTAGATCTTGAGTCCTCATCGTTCTCACATTGTTTACTGTAAAAGCTAAGGTCAGTGTATTGTAAGTCTCTTGACCTACAGGAACATCTTAGTATTGAACAATCTCCTGTGCAGTGGCATTTCACCATTTCAATGATGGCCGGAGGAGCTGGTAGTACATCAGGGGTAGTGGGTCTTGGCTGGCCTTTATCATCCATGTAGTAGCCATTTTGCAGAGGAATACTTGCCTGGCCCCAAACTAGAGCTTGCACATGTAGTTCCCCCATCAATAAGCTGTTGCAACGCATCCTCTGTAGGAGGTAGCTTGTTACTATCTGCCTTATACTTGTCAAAATGTGCAGTCTCAGCTGTGGAATGTTTCTTATTGTGATTCCTTTTGAGTAATAGGAAGCACACACAAACCAAGTAGAGCATTTCTGTTGTTCTTCTGTTCCTCTAAAATTATCTGAAAGCATCCTCAGAGCTTAGGTGATGTCAATGTCAGGTTTGAGGAAGATCTTGAACCATGCTGCATTATGCCTAGTTAACAGTACATGACTTAAGCCCTGATTTGCCACTAATTCAAAATAATTTAAAAAATCAGTGTTGGCTCCATACTCACAAAATTGGTGCTCGAACACTAACTGTTCAAAAATCTGTATTCCAGGCCCTTTATAATGCCCTGCTTAGTCTGGATAATCTGTAGACTTGAGCGTAAACAGATTTTATTCTCCTCTATTGGACGTCTCCTCTATTTAGACCTGTTTGACTGACATCCACCTGACTATTCTCCAAGCTTTGCTGTACCTGTCAGGTTGCTACTAACTGCACCTTCATCATTCTTATTAGTGCATAGGCTGTGTCTGAAACCAACCCCTGCCTACGAGCATGCCACATTAACCAACCAATTTATGTATGAATTTACAAGTTGTGTCTCAACACTTACTGATGATGATGCAAAATGTTGATGATTCAAAATGCCTGATTGATGCTTTACTTGCAGTGCTATTGGTTCATCTCTTCTTATGCAGCGAGTTTTTAATCTGGCAGCCTTATCTCACCATGACTAATCTTCCTTTACTAACTTAAAAATCTCAGGGAGTTTACTTTTTTCCTAAATAGTGAAATGCTCTGATTAATCGTCACGAAGCAAATGTACAATTTGATTTATCAGTCAATCAGTTATTGTAACCCACTGAGCTGAATCAGACAGCTCCTGAAGAAGCATCTCTTGATATGATAATTGACACTGATGACAGCTACATCATTAAATATGTTTAAGTTTAAAGTTTATTTACTTTATTAATCCCCCTGAGGAGAAATTCAATGTTTTCACTCTTGCTTGTCAATTACACACAGGTCCGAAAGACACACACATGCACAAACAGGACCTATACATGCACAAAGTGGAGAGATGTCAGAGTGAGGGGGCTGCCCTTGGTGAGGCGCATATTTTTTGGTCCGGACGGGGACTCCAACAGGTGACCCTCCGGTTCCCAACCCAAGTCCCTATGGACTGAGCTACTGAGTTACTGTCATCTTTATCATGTGATATAGTACCTTGGCTTTTATCCCTAAAGGTTCATGCTTCATAGAGTGTAAGTATTTCCTTAAACATCAGTGCAGGTCATCTGCACGTGCCCACCGCAATTCACAGCAGGATGTCCTGACAATAACATAGTTTAATGTACACTGTGGATGGGAGCTAGCTGACAACGCTCAATAAAGCCAGGCTGTGTTTATCTTCAAGAAAACAGAAAACAGAAACTAGAATTGCCTCTTTGCAGATGTATGCCTCCACCAGACAAGTTACAGTTCACACACAGTACACAGTGCCTCAAATATGGATGTTGCTGCAAAGAAGCTACAAATTCTAACACATGGATGCTTCACATACATTTTTAACCTTGGCAGCACAAAATATCTATACAATCAGCACAGTTTCAAGATTAGAGTCACAAATTCAGTATCTGAATAAATGTCTCTCCTTCTGTTCCTGAGATATCACATTGAATATTGGCCAGAAAAGTGTTTTTGCAGAATATTATGATGTCACAGTGAAGCTGACCTTTGGGATATACAATGTCATCACTTCATTGTTTTATCCTAATAGACATCTGGGAGACATTTTGTCATAGCCATGTATGTATTCTTGAGTTATGGCCAAAAATGTGTTCATGATGTCACAGTGACCTTGAACCACCAAACTCTAACCACTTCATCACTGGGTCCAAGTAGACATTTGTGCCAATTTTGAGAAAATTCCCTCCCTTCTTGAGATACTACAATTACGAGAATGGGAAAGATGTACGTATAAGCGGACGAACGCAAGGAGCAGCATCATTACTACCCAGATAAGCTGCATATTTTAGAGTGTCCTTTTATTGTGATCATCCCAAGGCACACATGTGTAGTAATGAATGATGCAGTTTAATCAGCACACACACACACACACACACACACACACGCCTTTACTGATGAAACATACTGTAGAACAGAATAGCTGGAAGAATCAGGTTTCCCTGTCTTGTCCACTTGTACTCACAGTACGAGCAGCCATAGAGCTCCAGGCGCACTCCGATGCGTCCCTCCCTGCTCCAGTCCACTGGGATGAAGCGGATGTAGCGAGCCAGGATGACATGCTGCAGGTCATGGCGAACAGCACCTTCACTGTTCACGTTCCCCTCAAATGTCTGAAACACACAGAAACAAACATGCTGCAGTATTCTGGCAGGAGGGGCAACCCTGTCCTGACAACCATATTCTAACTAAAATAGGAGTCTGTCTGTCTGTCTTTTGATTTTGTAGGTAGTTCATTGGATTGACTTCACACTTGCCTGTAGCGAAAGTGCAGAGTGGAGTGCAAGCTCTTGAAATCTATGGGACATATTTATTATCTACACAGTGAGTTATTTAAACACACTGTAGTGTATTGAGAGGGGACCTTTATTAACTGTTACACCACCAAACGGCATGCTGGGTACAGTTTGCCCTCTGTCGCTCACTACAGTGCAGTCAAGAACAGATGAGGAAAGAGAGACAAGAAAGACTGAAGCAATTACACTGTAGCACACTCAAACATTTCAAGCAGCATTGAGGGAACTTTCAGAATGAATGCTTTTGTTCCTGAAAACAGCTTGGTCCCAATTATACAGCTTTAAGCAAATAATGCGTATACTGTAGCACAGTGGTTCCCAAACCTTTTTTTCCTTTAGGGACCTTTGTTCTATTGCTGAGCAGACTGATGACTGCTGACTAAGTGACATGTTTTATGGATATTTCATAATAAATTCAATGCATAATAATAATAATAATAATAATAATAAGAGTACAGAGCAACTGATAAACTGTACAACTGATGCAAACAGTGAACACAGTAACCACAGGAAGTTTGTGTAAAATGGGCAATTTAAATGAATTTTGAGCAGATTATTTCCTGTGAATGTTACATTAGAGGTTAGTTTCCCTAATATTCTAAAAACGTATGATATGGTTCTCTGTTTGTATTTTTTTTATATAGGCTGGTTTTAAGACAAATTCAGTGTTTTCTTCTACCTGACGCTTGGCAATTGTTTTAGCTCTTTGGTTAACTGTGTTCTTTTCTAATGTGGGATGAGGCTGTTCAGCAGAGAGTGAAGGCTCTGTGAATATAGCCTGTGTTCAGGTCACTGTGCCCTTATATCATCCTGTGAGATGTTTTTAAAGTTGATATCGCCTGTAAATAATAATAATTAACAAAGGCAGCTGTGGCTCAGGTGGTAGAATGGGTTATCTTCTAATCAGAAGGTTGGCAGTCAATCCCTGACTCCTCCAGTCCCCATGTCAAAGTATCCTTGGGCAAGATACTGGACCCCACATTACTCCCAGTGGCTGTTCGATCAGTGTGTGATTGTGTATGAATGTGTAAAAACTGAGTAGCAGGTGGCACCTAGCACAGTAGCCTCAGCCACCCACCAGTGTATAAATGCATGTGTGAATGGGTGAATGTGACAAGTTATGTAAATAGTGTTGCAATGACTAGAAAAGCACTTTGCTATATTTAAATATATGTATATATATATTTAAGAAATTAATATATACATCTTACACCCCTTAAAATCAAGAAGGCGTTGTGACCCACCCCAGTGGGGGTAAACAGGCAAACACTCTAGGGGACTCAGCTTAGGTTTGTGATGGCAGGTGTATTTCTCTCGACACAAGGAGGCACAGTGTTGTTGAGTGGTTGTGAATAAAACTGCAAGCAGTATTTTCTTTTCTTAAAATGTATTTTCATTATTAAATTAGTTTATTTCTCCCTGGCTAATATTTTTTACAAATAATGGTTTTGTCAAGGGTTGAAATATCCTTTATAAGTTTATTTTTATTATTATACCACTAATACCATCTCTGCATATATGATTGGTCATACAACAAATGTTTTATTTTTATTTGATCACTTTATTACTTAATTTTCAAAAAAAGGGGAGGAAAAAACAGAAAACTTTGTAATTATGATGTGCTGTAGGACTTGCTCCAACTTTGTTCTCAATAAAAATCTAATAATACCAAAAATATATAAATTGTACATAGCCATATACTGTAGATTGGTATTATATAGTTTGAGAGCTGCACTGTATATGGTACTTCTCCCACATTGATCGGGGTTTTCTGCAATGGAGTAGGCATGCGGTTGTTCCTTTCCCAGTAAACACCTGCAGGTGCATCCCCACGCATCAGAATAAAATACAAAAAAAGCTCAAATTCAGATTATAGAAATCAGCCTTTAACTTTAGGCTGAGATTAATCCACACTGTAAGATTAAGTAAGTAAATGTCTAATTAAGAGTTTCTGTATAAGTGCTAAGCAGCTTACTGATCTCAGTTGTTTCAATCCAAATCTTTTACCCGACTCATCTCCAGCGATGATCCTTGCTAATTCTGATGTTTTGACTAAGCTGCACTAATTCCAGTAATATAAATGACAACTTTGTGCCATTTTGACACATAACGCATCAAATGATTTCAAAGGGTTAAAAGGAATGTTTGGATGAGATAAGATGACATCATAAAACAAGACATAAGATTCTTCCTTACCCAGATGTTTCCATCCTGTAGATACGGCCTCCAGTTTTTCTGTGTGTCGCTGTAAAGTAGGCGATACTTGCTGGTCCAATCAGAGCTACTGTAGCGTCCCTGTGTCACTATGGCAACCACCTGCTTCCTAGAACCCAGGTCCACCTGTAACCACTGGTAACGATCTGTATCCAAGGGCGACCAGCCTCCAGCACCTAGTTTTGTGGGAGTTGTAGGGCACACAGGGTGAAAGATTGGAGGAAGGGAAAAGAAAGAAGAGCAGAAAAATGGATCAGAACATTTGAAGCAAAATTAATATTATGTTTCATCATTATGATGTTTTCAGATTTCTTCCCCCCAAGTAAGCAAGTACAGTCAGTTTAGGCAGTGTAACTGCATGGTTGGCAAGCTTTGTTCTTCTCATCAGTATCTGAGGACATTTATGTGAGATTACCTCCCATTATAAAGGCATACCTTGTTTCCGATTGAGTTTGGCGTAACCAGCTCCATATGCTCGGGCATACACTGATGAACTGGTGAAGGAGCTGTAGGGGAGAGGAGTGGCCAGGCTGTCCTCACACTTCCCTGAAACAGAAAGACAAAAAGCAGACACAAAGGTAAGCTCATCATCAGCAAATAAAGTCAGTCTGCAGAAGCCCACTGACTGAGGTGATCCCCAGAGCCCAGCTGTTCAAAGAACGTAATCTGGATCAAAATGATCCATTTTACGTCTGAGCCTTTTTTTTTAAAAGAAACATTGGATTGTATCACTCTGATGCAGACACAAAGATGACCAAATTCCGGTAATTAGTGCTCTACATGGGACTACATCACAATGTAGGCAGCCTGCTGACAAACATGCTGCAATTACCACTACTACCATTCTTACTATCATAGGTGCCGCTAAAGAAAACCAAACAGATTATAACTTCAATATTTTTTGTTTGATATTGCTGCTATTTGATTATTTTATGGGGACAACATCTTTTTTTTGTTGATCTTAAGTATAATGACAGGCTCAGTAATTAGCCTAATGTATACTTAACTACTTTATCAAAGTAACTGTTAAACAAATCAAGTGCAAAATATAAATAAATGTGTAATATGTATATTTGAACAATTTGACAGTTTTATTACATTTTGTTCCTCAAATCCACTCTGAATCCAGCCTTCTGCTCTGGGATCAGGCTAATCTGGATTTTTTTGGATCAAAGGTCACCGAATCTAACTAAAATGTTTTGTACAACACATACTTAAGGTTTGACCCAGATTAAAACCAAAATTGGATTACAGGATTTAGTCTGATTTAATCTGGTTGGATTTCAGTTATCAGACAGGATCAAATCCAGAAAACGGAATTCTGAAATCAGATTAGATTTGGATCAAAGCTTCAGTTTGTGTTGTTCAAAACTACATAAAAGCATTGGGATACCTGCAATCCAAAAAAAATTCAAGATTATCCTGATCCCAGGATGGAGTCAGGGTGGATTTAAGGAACAAAATGTAATAAAACTTTTAAATTGGTCAAATGTACATACATTTATTAATACTTTGCACTTGATTTGTAGTTAGTAGTAGTTAGTAGTATAGACACTGGGCTACACATTAAGCCTTTTAGTACAATATACAGTAAAGAAAATACATACAGGATACAGAAAAATTGATTAACTGATCCTGTATTATTAAAACATGGGATTTTAAAATCTCTATCACTCTGAATCCAGATTACATTTTGTGAACAACTATGCCCTGACTTTTCCTCTAGCACCACCAGCAGGGCAATGTTTTAAATAGTCCAATACTTTGGTTTAATAAATTAATATATATGAGCAAAAACTAGATATTTCTCAGTTTACCACACCAACAAAACCTCAGCATGTTAGCCAAGTTACTATGAGCAGGTACAGCCTCACAGAACCACTCGCATAGCTGTAGACTCTTAGCTTTGTTGTATCAACTTCATTGTTACTCTTTCATCAGGCCTGTCACTGTGACATAAGTCAGTGCCATCCAGTATGGTCTGAAGGAAAAATGCCACTTCTACGTTTGAGGTTTGGTTACATTTAGGCAATTAAATCTATTTGTTGAAGGTTAAGGAAAGAGTGTGGTTCAGGGATGTCAACTACCACTCACCACCCTCATTGACTGTGACACTCACGTAATTGACACTTTCCCACGCTCTCACGCCACACTTACATTTTCACATGCAGTGGAAAAACAAAAGTATGACTGATGATGTTGCAGTGAGAAAAGACATGGACACAGCCCACAGACAACAAATATTCCGCCAAAACTAAACAAACAAAACATGTTTTAGAAATGCTGTATGATTAACTAACAAACTAAAACAAACTATTGCATTTTGTTTTGCAATACAGAACATACCTGTCAGACGATTACATAACATTTTTCTGATACATCATGTTTCATAAACAAACATATTACAAGTACAAAAAATATATTCTACAAAGACTAAAAAATATCACGTGACTCTAGCTGGGGTGTATCCAGTGTGTGCGCTGAGTTAAAAAACACGTGCCGCTGTGAAGCAACAGTCTCTAGTTAGGAACTAACCCTGTAGTACACAGCACACAAATACCCTGAGCAAAAGAACAAGCCTCTGCACAGCTACAGACTCTTGTTAGCATCTAACAGCAGCTAATGTTAGCACAAAGCATGCTACCAGAGCTGGCCCTAAGGCATAAGCGAACTAAGCATCTGCTTAGGGCACTGTGACCACTAGGGGGCCCCCAAGAGCAATTAACTTAAAAAAGAAAACTTTTTTTTTTTTTTTTTTGTCATGTGTAAGTGATGATGATTCATATATTATCAAATGTACGTTGTTGTACAAAAAGACAATAGAGTGTGCCAGTAGACCCAGAACTCTTTTAGCGCTTTTAGCACTCCCGGTTCTCTCGTCTAAAAGTCAATACGTTTTTTGAATGGGATTTTGGTAAAATGCCTCAAATAAGGTCTGTGGTTAACAAAAGTTTAAGCGAGTTTCGGGTTTTGTTCTACGACATAAAACACGTCAGTAAATACCCTACTTGTGAATTTTGAAGCTTTTACATGTTTTTAAAAAGGCGGTTGCTAACAAGTTGCTCAATACGACTACAAACCCTGTCGGGGACATTAAACGTCATCACCCCCGAACAGGCGAGAGTGCTGGCAGTCCGCCATTACAGCTTCTTACTTAGCTTAAACAGTCCGATTTCCCCATTATACAATGTTTTTAAAATAAAGCGGCCGAAATCAGTTGAAAGCTTAGTGGCGATGACGTCAAGAGTCATGCGACCGTGGAGTAGTCATGTAGTCCATTAAAGCCTAAAGTTAGCTTTTTACTTCTGGCGATCGCATTTAAGCTTCAAATGCGGTATGAAAGATGTTCATATGTGAAGATTATCTCGCTGAACAAAACCTTCTGTTAGCCACAGAGCTTATTTTCTGACATAATCCAAAACACAATGCAAAAATCACATTCACTTTCTCTTCCGGGAACCAGCGCGATGCTAAACTTCCGGGTTTTGACGTCAGCCCTGGCACACTATATTATGTTAAGACTGTAGTTTCCTACTGCCTTTCTGTTCTAAATGTCAGAGCTCCGCTAGTAAGGTGTGCATCCAGCCGTGCAGTGCGCACTGCGCATCCAAGGAGCTAGGAGCAGGTGGAAGGCCTAATAATGTCGCAATAAAGGACATACCCTTCAGGGGCAGAAAAAAGAAAAAGGAAGGAAGAGGAGAAAAAAACGACAAGATAAAGGCATGTTTGCATGTCTTGGTAATGTAACGTTTGGTGTCAAGGAGATTTTGAAAAGTTTACTCAAATTAGGAAAGTCCCTAATTATTGTTGATATTTTGTTCCAACTATGTTAGCCTATAATAGCAAATTAGCTAGATAACGTTAGTTCAAAGCTAGAGAAATTTCTAACTGGTAGGATAGATAGCTTACTATTCAAGCTAACGTTTAATAGCCTAACTTACTTTGAATAAGTTGATTCTCTGTGTATATATTCTGGGTCGCTTTTTGGCATCAAAACAACGTTTTTTGATAATGTTTGATAGCAAATGTTTAATAACAACTAACATTAATTTACAGACGCGGTGACATTTGCTAGCAATATGTTTTTGCATTAATGAATTAACTTAGTTAACTTACAGTTTGAGATACGTTGTTTGCTGCAGAGCATAGTAATTTATGTGAGTAAATAAACATATTCCTTTTACGTCAACTCCCTATTATGCTCGTACGTTAAATGAAACTTGTTGTTAAAAGTATTTTGGAGGAGGCACTGGTTCAGCCCAGGGGCAGTCCACCTCCTCAGGCTCAGCCAAGGCTAATGAATCAGGTGAGGGAAAAACTGTCACCACATGTATTTAATTTCTAGTCAGATTATCTCATTAAGATATATAATATAAGATATAATCATATGACAAGGGACATGTTTTTCATCTTAGGTCCATCCTCTGCCCCATCCACTGTGCCCACTATCCTCTCTGTGTCTGCTGCAACCTCAGAGTTAACAACAAAACAGCCTTTGTAATTGCTCAGTGTACTGCAGAACATTCTGAGATGAATAATTTTTAATATAAGAGATAAAGGGACATGTTTTTAGACAAATGCATATTATTTAAAAACTTCTCAAGCAATTTTCAGTTGTTCCACTTGCAGATTGTTTTCTTATTACAAGCTATAGCTGTACTATTTTACTTAGAAAATAAGCAGCATAATTTTCAAGTGTAATATGACATCTAACATGACTAGCTTTTGTTGTTGTTTTTAATCTTAGGTCCATCTCCATCCTTTGCTCCATCCACTGTGCCCACTGTCGCCTCTGTGTTGCAGTTTATTTAAAACAAAAAATAATAAAGCAGATTGTGTTTACAGAAATGGTTGGTTTATTTTCTTACTTTTAGTTGGCCTAGATGACATTCGGTATCCCACTTAGTACTATATCACTTTGAATATTAAGTGTAAATCAAACCCAGGCTGCTCTTGTAGCTGAATTTGCTACTATTTCAGATTAAAAACCATAAAACATGCCAGGCTGCTCTTTGAGGTTTTATGTATTGAGTCTCTGTGTGGCCAGTAGGGGGAGTTGCTGACTTTGCCAAATATTAATTGAAAGATTTTTCAGCAAGTTTGCAAATCTGGTGTCTGCTTCCATGGCCTTAATCACTGTGGATTACAATCTAACTACTACAAAAAGTTCTCACATCTATTTTTACAAGTGTATCCGTAATGACAGAGTAGAACATGAAATAACTTATAGTAGGTATGTGAATGATCAATAATCAGTATTATTGGCAGTAATATAGGCCTCCAAAATCAAATTTTGCTGAGGGCCCCATGGAGGCTTGGGCCGACCCTGCATGATACCACAGCAGTGAAGTAAGTGCTGGGCCAGGTGGCCAGTTGGGACTAAAAGACTGAAAGTGATGGCTATTTTGCCTGTGACTCTGTTTGTTGCCACAATCATGTAAACAAACAAGAGTTATTTATTTGAGCAACATTACATGAGAGGGAGTGCTGTTGTACTGAATATCATTACGGCTGTGATTCCGTCGTAGGCACGAGGTTGCAGGCCA